CCCCCCCCGCCCCCGCCATCCCATCGCGGGGCGGGCTCTGGTCCCTCAGAGGAGCTGATGTCCACCTGGAAGCGGACGGGCTTCTGGAAGACGGAGGGGCCACCGCTGGCCTTGTACTCGGCCCTGAAGCTGGTCTGTGACAGCACGCTGTGACTCAGGCTGGGGATCTGAGAGAGACGGGGGGAGCACGAGGAGGAGGTGACCCCCGGGACCTGGTTGCAGGGAATGGATAAGCACCCCTACAGCGAGCGGCCTTTTCCCAAGGAACTACAAGTCCCATCAGACACTGGAGGAAGAGTAGTATAAGGAAAGGTATCAGAATGGCCCATTGCCTGCTGGGATTTGTAGTTTTCCATCCTACCATGACTAGGTTGTAGTTTTGGAAGTCGGGGAGCCTCCTCCCCGAGCCTCATCTCCAGCCCCAGGCTCCGGTGAGAAGGAAAAGACCGGACTCTGCGAAGGAGAGGACGAGGGTGAGGCCGGACTACAACTCCCAGTAGGCTCTAAGCGCCCCACTCACGCAGACTCAGGCAGGAGGGCCCGATGCATGCTGGACCTTGTAGTCCTATTATCCCTCCCTCCCCTTGAACCCAGGACCCTTCAGTCCACAGGGTGACGCCCTATTTACTGAGCCAAACCAGCCAGGGCTTGTGCCAACTCTTTTAGAAAAAAAGTTTTTATTTATTTTAAAAAGAGGAAGGGAGAGGGGGAAAGAAACATCGGTATGTGGTAGATACATCAATCGGTTGCCTCATGTTGAACCCACAACCTGGGCATGTGCCCTGACTGGGAATTGAACTGGTGACCTTTCAGTGCATGGGATGACGCTCAACCAACTGAGCCACACTGGCCGGGGTTCTTGTGTCAACTCTTGATTGGTCAAGGCTGCCTAGAGTGTGAGGCTGTGGCTGAGCTCACGGATGAATTGCTGTGATTGATTGGTGATGTCTGCTCTGGGTGTGGGAATGGCCTGAAAGCAGCACCCCACGTCCTTGCTCTTCAGTCTTAAAGTCGTAGGAAGAGCTCTGTGCTGGGAGGTCAGGAGGCCTTCGTTGAGCCCAGCTCTGTCACGGTGTACAGTGTGACTCCGGTCAAATCCATTTACCTCTTTAGACCTCAGTTTTCCTCTCTGTCAAGTGGGTGATTACTAACCCATCAAAGGAAATAGTGCGATTAAGCACTAGGCACGTTGTAAACAATATGTTATGAGGTTAAGTGTGGATGAGAAAAGGGAAAAGGAACCTTAGCTGGTTTGGCTCAGTGGATGGAGCACTGGACTCTGGACTGAAAGGTCCTGGGTTCGATTCCGGTCAAGGGTACATGCTCAGGTTTTGGGCTCGATCCCCAGTAAGGGGCGTGCAGGGGCAGCCGATCCATGATTCTCTCACATCATTGATGTTTCTCTATCTCCCCCTCCCTTCCTCTCTGAAATCAATACATCTATATCTATATCTATATCATCTATATCTATCTATCTA